GAGCGATTTTAATCCAGTATGAATCTGTAGTGTGTGTAGTTTTACAGTCTGACAGTAATAATTGTGGAGCGATTTTAATCCAGTATGAATCTGCAGTGTGTAGTTTTTACAGTCTGACAGTAATAATTGTGGAGTGATTTTAATCCAGTGTGAATCTGCAGTGTGTGGAGTTTTACAGTCTGACGGAAAAATTGTGGAGTGATTTTAATCCAGTATGAATCTGCAGTGTGTGGAGTTTTACAGTCTGACAGTAATAATTGTGGAGCGATTTTAATCCAGTATGAATCTGCAGTGTGTGGAGTTTTACAGTCTGACGGAAAAATTGTGGAGTGATTTTAATCCAGTATGAATCTGCAGTGTGTGGAGTTTTTACAGTCTGACAGCCTTTTTACAGTCTAATTGTGTGATGAAGGGTCATCTGTAATCGTCCGAACCTGGGTCTCCCTCAGAAATAGTAGTCATATTCCAATTCACCTCAGGCTAAATACCGTGCTCCGTGTTGTTATTGTTATTGAGTGTGTTCTGTGGTGTAACACTGACGTGAACATCCAGGCTGTGACCTTTCCATCTGTGCTATCTGTAGGAATTTGGGAAAATTATATACTTTATTTACAGACGATTTTCATTAATCAGTCGAATCTTTTACAAATTTCATTACAGCATTTGATCTGCATTAAAAAATCCTCTGGTAATTCTAAAACAAACCTGAACTGCAGAGCTGAGTGCAGATTTTGAGTTATATATATATAATGAGCTGCAGGACAGTGTAACTCACTCGGTCACTGCTAGTTATTTGTGTAGATGTCCCATGATGCACCGGGGTGATGAGGTCATTATGCTTAGTGTGTTTTAGGACATTGATCAGTTGAGTGTTTCTCTCTGGTCATATGATGCTCATGCACGCCAGATCACTGGCCTAAGTTGGGTCACACTGTCTTTCACGCTTGACAGTGACCTCAAAGGACAGAAGATTCGATCGCTGAAATGCACTCCACATTTGCACCACTTGTCCTAGCACTCACTCCGTCCCCAGCCATGTGCCCCCTGCGGCGCTGTACATCGTCCATATGCTCAGTGGAAATGTGACATTAAGACCCAGGTTAGTGTCCTGTGTGACATATGCTCACTGTCCACCTCTGCGGAATTCCTGCCCCCATGCTTATTTCTGTCCATCTGGAACATTTCCACTCAAAGATTCCCATTTATACTGATTTGAGATCAGCTGCTAATCTAACTGATGCGGTCAAACTGGACTCAGATCAGCATAAAAAGTGACATTGACACAAACGTGTGTCCACCAAAATGGCCTCATTACGTCAACGGATCAGCATTGTGGTGTGTGTGTGTTTGTGAGTGTGAGTGCGTGACCCAGGGTGAGCACTCCTGTTTTTGGCCTCGGAGGATGGGCCATGCCAAGCAGACAAACACGCGCCCAGGAGACAAAAGCTATTTCTGACGGTGAATGTTCAGCAAGAAAAAATAAAAAACATATATCCAATTTTTGATACTGAACTAAACTGGATATTACAGTAAATATAGAAGCTTAATACAGTCTGACATACAAATTTTAATGCATTAAATTTTTTATTTATCCACAAAGAAATTTCTGGAAATGGCCTACAAAAGAAAACAATACAACACAAATAAATTAAAGCTTGAAAAAACCCTAAATCTATTGATGTTTTGTTGATTTTCTAAGTGAATATAAAGGAATCAATTAAAGATGACTTTTTCTTTGCTTATTTTTAGTGCACAACTTCTATATATTTGCTGAAAATGTGCCATCACTTTTGCACAAGTCACTTTTTCTGTTTTTTTTTTTTACTTAATATGTTAAATTCAGAAAATAAGCAGCAATTGTGCATTACAATGTGCAGAAACCTGTTGCCTTTGGTGTCATTTTCACTTAGAAAAACATGTAATTTAACCAAGCATATATATCACTGTATGTATGGTAACTTGGGGGATGAAGCCCCCCAGGGCAAGAGGCCCCCATCTCTCATTCTGGTCAAATGATGTGAACATATTTAATCTTGTCACATTTACTGAATGGTTGTGTTCTAATTAATTCTGGATCACTGCTATTTATTCCACTAAAAATGTTTAAGGGTCACTTGGGTGACACTGATCTATGTTGACTGATCATAAGTAAGATGGAGAATAAGATGTATCTTTACAGCAGAAATATGAATTTGCCCCAGAAATCTTACTTAGTTATTAGTTAGTGTATCAGAAAGACAAAAAGATGCTGACTATAGGCTCGCATGGTTATTTAGCATTAGTTAGTTCCTTTAAGTGCTATTGATTTTGTATTTAAATTGTTATTGTTATTATTGATGTCCTACTACTGCTACTACTACTAAGAACTGTAATAATAATAATAATAATAATAATACCATTAAATGCTTTTATTTTACTGTCCTTTCTTTTTTGTCATATGTTATTAAGTGGAATCATCAAGGCATAAATTGATTTAATATTTTAGTGCTATACTTTAATTAATAACACATTTTTTGGAAGAAATCAAAGACTAGAAATGATTAACATAAATTACTCATTCTGTAAGACCCAGATGACAAATTGATTCCTCAGAGGAAAACATTTTCCCTGTAACAGTAACTTTACCAATCTCTTCAACCAAACTGCATTAGTGTAGGTTGAGTTTCCCTAAAGCACTGCTCAAACTTCACCACAACATAAAAACACCATCCATATAAATGCAGTCAATCCCCAAAGCGTATAAGACATGCTGTCCAAAACCATGCAGCTTAACCCCTGTTATCAGTACTGTGATCAGTACAGGCGAAGCTCATTGTGGTCTATTTTTACATAGTGGGTGCTTGGACTCTTCAGTGCTCAATACAAGCATTTATTTTGCTATTGCATGTAATGTTATTTTAGCTAATTTCTTAGGTACGTATGAAGGCATGTGTGGAAAAGAAAAAAAAATGCTAAAAAGCATTTTTCCCCTTTTTTTCATCAGAGTTGTCCTGAAAAAATGACTTACCAATTCCTCAAAAAGAAGGAGAACATTGCAAAGGAATAACTTGATTAATGTTTAGTCTCATATTATTATATTATTTTTAAAAGAGTTTAAGCCAATGATTTAAATGTTTTGCTTCGATTTTAGGATTTTTGATGGTCATGGCCACCCTCTAGCTAGATCTCCCCCTAACACATGATGCTACCAAGCTAGGAGTGAGAAGGCCGGCATGTGCTTCTTCGCATCTTTTTGAACTGCCGGTAAGCAATGTTGCTGGAGAGTTCAACATGCTTGGAGGAGAATGCTCACTGCCAACTACGTCAGCGAACAGACAGCCACATTGGCTAGCATCATGCTGAGCGATGGACCATACTGCCCAGAGACAGAATCCAACTATGCCTTCTCTGATTCCCAAGGATCTCCCGATGATAGGAGAACACTTTGACAGTTATACTACTTGGGAACCTGCTAAAGACATATTCCTCTAATGTGCAGCCATTTAGTAAGAGACACTGAGACGAGAGACCATGAAAGGAAGCAAAATGACAATTTAAGTAACAATTTCATTCTCATAGTAAATCTTTCATTAAACCATCCTAAAGCACTTGTGGTGTTGATCATTCTTAGTGATCCCATGAGGTCCTCTGACAGAAGTTTGCATACAGAAACTCCAGCAACTAAAAAGGCCGTGGCTGCGATATAAACACTGACCACTCAGTTCACAGCCCCTGTAACCACCAGGCAAGCAGCTACCCCAAAATGCCAAGTTAATCAAAATTAGCCCAAAATTAGGGGTCGATAGCAATGAGTGCCACGGAGATGCCCTCAGGCAGGGCACTTGATGCACTTGATCCTGTCCTGGAAACGCAGACAGCATCCAGCTGTTCCGTTCTGCGGGGTTGTCATGGCGATGGGCCTGGCGCAAGACACCCCCCCGTGAGCGCCTCGGGAAGCTTAACCCACATACGAGTTTAAAAGACCATAAACCATACGGCGGAGACGGAAAGCAGACGGCCCAGGCAGCCATTCAGTCCAGTGACGAGAAACCCCCAGCAGCAAAAACCACTCAACCACGTGCGGGGCCGACGAAAAGTCAGCACAAACAGGGCTCTGCTGTGACTTGAGGGATTTGAGATTCTCTTGTGGAGGTTGCGAGGAAAGTGTGGTGGATTTGAGGGGGGGATTTAACAACAAGGGAAGTAATTAGCCAAAACAAGAACATTACCGCCATCTTCCTCTCTTCCTCCTCCTCCTCTTCCTCTCGATCAGACAAATGCCCAGGGAGCAATAACAAAACATTGCGTGGGTGAAGACAAGATTGATGTGCCGCAAGAGTTTAGGATACAAGCTGTTTCTACCTCCCACTCTAATACATCATAGTGCTTTGATTAGACGAACAAAAAGCTCAGCAATTGTGAACTAGTGTTTCTCAAATCACAATTTGCGAGCAAAAGAGAACAAAACATTTTAGATCGTTATTTACTATCCAACAGATCCAACTTGCAAAGAAAAGAAATTGGAATTAAAGATACGCAACCATATATGGTTGAGTTATTCCAGACTCATATCAGGGAAGCAGCAGCCACAAATCAACTTGTTTGCATCTGCAATGGTTGCACTGTATGGAATAGACAACATCTGGCAACTAATCATAGCAGGATTTTCTTGCAAATTTGAATTATATCACCTTCCACTTCCACCACAACAGGGACAATGGGAAATTTGCGGTACCCCAGTCTTATAATGTATTAATACACAGAGATCTATTTTGAGAATCCTTGGTACGGATTCTTATCTGGTAGAGTTACAGAAAAAGAGACATGTTGATATTACATGTAAGTATTATTATTCCACAAGCTGTTCAAAATTAAGTCAGGCCTAGCTAGTTCTCGTTCTCAATATGGGAGAATATCACCTGCCAAGGATTAGTGTTGGGTAACTTCTTGATTACTGGCAATATCCAGTGATCGTCAAATCACCTATTCCAGCTAGGAGTGCACAGTATAAATGCATGTACCTGTAAGCCATGCCGGTCCTGGCCCGTACTGAGTCCTGCAGTGAGAGTGTGTGCGTGTTGAGAAACTCCTCCAGGCGTTTGAGCTCCAGGTGTGCATTAGTCCTCAGGCTGCCCCAGCACATGAGCGGAGGGTAACCCTTCTCTCCGGAGTTTTGCCTGCCACAGCGGGATTGTCCCCTCTCTCCCGGCTTCTGTCCTGTCTTTGGCTTTGGGTTGGGGATGTCTGAGCAAGTCGCCTTATACAAGTACATCTCTTGCTGCTTCGTCCCACTCAAAAGTCAGAATCCAGACGGGGCCCTGGTGCACAAACTTCAGCCTGGAGCGCCGTTAACTCCAAAGGTGAGCCTCCAAAACTCGAAAGACCCCAAAAGAATCCCTGAGAGTGCTAAAGAGAGCTTGACTAAATAAAATGAAGGAACACTTGTAGTTTTTCACCCTTAGAAGTCCAGAAACTATTGCTGTGAGTTGACAGTTGTCACATATTTTATCTCTCTCTCCTCTCTCTCTCTTTCCTGCTCTCCCTCTCTCGTTATCTATCGTCTTTTCACTTACATTTCCTCCTGGTTAGATCGGCTTAGTTCAGTTTCACTCTCCAATAAACACCATGGGAATCTGGGACATTTTTCCCTCCCTCTCTCTCTCTCTCTCTCTCTCTCTCTCTCTCCCTCCATCCCTCCCCCTTCTCTCTCACTCCCCCCATCTCCCTCGCTCCACCTCTCTCTCTCTCTCTCTCTCTCTGTCTCTCGTTGTTTCCCTGCTCTTCCACTTTTTACATGTTTTTTTTTTTACATACAGTGGGACCCGTGCCAGACGTTGTGACCTTCGACCCGTGGGCCGCTGCTAGGACTTTCGCAGTGACATCACGTCTGGTCCGGAGGATTGTGGGAATGCGCTGTAGGAATTGTTTTCCATATCAAGAGTTTTCAGCAGGAACATGCATCACAGCCAGCTAAACGCCCCCTCCAACCCCGAATACCATGGACATCATCCAAGTCATACACACTCAAAAGCACAGGCGCTAAAGTGCATTCGCACTCAGATGTACCCAAACAAATTAACAAGCATGTTAGAGACACAAAGTGGTGGGTGAGTGCTTTCCTAAAGTACTTTACTTCACAGACACCCTCACATAGACACACTGGATGGACGTCTGTCCACTACCAGAGGTCGAAGTGGAACAACTGATGTGAGCTTCCACACAAACGCCAGCTGGGATTGAAATATCCAGCAATGCTTTTCTTTAAGGCTATTTTTAGCTGACAGACAGGGACACAGAAATATCCAAAGGGGTTTTCACACTCACGGGGCTTTTCTTGTAGTGCTGGACGGATACTGGAGTGTTTTTCATCTTCTGCCTGGACAAATCGCCTCCCTGCCAATGTCCATAACTACGGAAGCCTATTCCCAGCAGATAGACAAGGAAATCCCCAATGGTCTTTTTGTTCCTTTGTCAAAATAATAGCTTGTTTTATCAAAATAGTGACTTGCTGTATCAAAACAGTGGCTTATTTTCTTGAAATATTGACTTAGTATTTCAAAATAACAACATGTATTCTCAAAACATTGACTTGCTATGTCACAATAATTATGTAATAGAGGTTTGCACCCACCATGTCCAGCTGTGGAAACTTTGTGATTGACTATGACCAAAGAGTGTGAGCTGATGAAATAATGCCTTTCCAATGCTGTACACGCTTATAGCACTTCATTCATTTTAGTCATGTAAAGCAGCTGAAACCACGGCCCAGGGGTCAATCCTAACCCTTTCATTTGTCCCCACACTGCAGCTACAGCGACTGTGAGTGACGTTACATAAGGCCTGGTGCATTTTAGACACATCACAGAAGAATCTGTGATCCTTGTAACTAAGGTAACGTTCTGGCCCACTGGAAACAAGCACATTTAAAAAGGGTCCTTCTACTGTTGCACGTTTGACATCGTAACAGTAGAAGAACCCTTGTAGGGGCTATATAGAACCCTTTTCACAAAGGTTCTGTATAGAACCATACATTCTCCCTCAATCTGAAAAAATGCGAAGAACTCTAAGCATGCACATAGTTCTTTGAGTGTTCATGGTTCTATACGCAAGTATACAATTTTTTTCTTTACTAAAGAACCCTTGAACTATGGTTTTAAGAGTGTGCCACATGGGTACAGTAGCCTTATACCACTTAACCAAGCTTCAGTGAAGTAATGACTCAAGTTAAACAAATCCTGGAGTACTGTGTTCACTTTAGAACAGCAGTGGAACTTCCTAGTACAGTGGTTTTCAGACTGTGGGACGTGAGCTGGATCAGGGCATGAGAGCACAGCTCAATGACGCACATTTTAGATCAGTAGCGGGAACCAGGCCCAGACCTTCCAGTAGCTTTAATGGGCATGTGCCAGGGGTCCAGGTCACTAGGGGGGCCCTGTGAGCAAAATCTAAACAGCTCTTTAAAAAAAAACGAACAAGTTTTTCATTATGTTACAGCTGATCATAATCCTGACATTCTCCACATTTATCCTTAACTATGGAGAAATATTCAATTTTGACCCGGTGGTCCTGTACTTTTCTAGCCTTTACGGTGCCACTTTAGCGCCTCGGAAACTCACAGACCAATCGCATGCGTTGTACATATCACACGTGATGCTACTCAGCCAATCAGATCTGCGCATTATGAGGAGCACTGAGACTCAAGTGAGTGACGCACACACAGGGGAGGGACGAGGCGAGAAACAGCAGTCAGAGAAGAAAGTGAGTCAGAGGGAAGTTATTTCAGATGCTGTGCTCTAAAAAGAGAAACTGTCAATAAATAATGTTGAAATATGACTGAATTGTACTTTATTTGATTTGATATTCAGTTGTTGACTGTATAAGATGTTGATATAACTACTAGGCTACTTCAGTTTACAGTATATGGCACTGAATCATGATGCAAGTTAGACATTATGATGTTCCGGACCTTTGCTTGAGATTTTCTCTAACTGGACCTTACTGAATTTTAATTAAATACCCCTGGTCTAGGTATTCAAAAGATGTGTCTGGGTGGTCTGTAAAAGCAAGATGTCCAGGATGTCCATTTACAATGCCAAACATAAAATGTCCCCCTCCCTGGCTAAAGAAAGCAGCTGCATCATCCCTGTTGGCAGTGATCTGTGAACCCTTAGAGGTAAGATATAAATGAAAAAAAAAAAAAAATTCATGCCAGCCGTGGCAGTATGCTTTAGCCTAGAATGCTTGATGGTTTGGGTTTTTACGTTTGCTGCTTTTTTACGGCTTTATATACCAACTGTCCGATTTAATTTCTTTATTAGGACAAGAGCTCTTTACAAGCAATACAATATCCCAGTGAAGACGACATAAGTTAAATTGGCATGTTAGAATGTGCTTAAAGATGGTGTGCTTTATAAAGAAGTGTTGGTATGTTCTCTTATTAATATGTGCATAGTCTTGCTATTGTTCTCTTAATTGGAAAAATGTGCATAAATATCCTTAAAGTAATGACGTGCAGTGACATTAGTATTCCGCCATCATGGTGATTCATAGGCCTTGAGTGACCTGCTGTGATATCATAAACAATTCACTACCTACCACAAAAAAGGTAACTAGATGGGGGCGACAACCTGATGATCCAGGCTTTGCAAGAGCCCTTTTGTTTTTGCACGGCTGCTGCTTCTTATTTCCAGTGTGACCACAGCAAGTTCAGTCATGCTCACATGTGCAGTTATTGAGTGCTGCATAAATGACATGTACAAAAATGCTCCTGCTTGTCCTTCACAACTAGTCATCTCCAGGTGAAGCTCCAGTGTTTGCTATGCTGAAAGCAGCAATGATCAGGGCATAGTGCTAACCTACCAGAAAACCTAGTCTCAGGGGGTCATTTAATGGACAATGCTTGAACTACCCAGTCTTCCTACTCAGCCCTACTGAACTCATTTCTTTACATAAGCTTCTATAGTGGCTGGTGGCAGAAACAAAGTGAGACTAAAGTTCATGTGTTCCTGGCCTCCCAGGCTCGATATAAGGGGCTATCGATTAACACAGAAAGGTTTGCATGCATCATATGGTATTGGCTGCGTTTTAGGGAAGTGCTGTATATATCAGGGAATTTCCTAAATTAATAAATGCTGTATATCACTGTTGTTGGAAGAAAACTTTATCTCCAAAATTATAACTTTACAGGAGAAGGAAAAAACATACTTGACTTTTAATGGAAGTCAATGGAACCAGAATTTTTACCAAGTAATTTTGGCCCATTTCTTTTGGTCCATTAATCTTGAAATTTACATACAATAATAATATTTTCAGATTATGTCAAAAACTGAAAAACAACAAAAATGGAGATACGAGGTTTTCTTCCGACAACAGCAGTATGTAGCTCTCTTGTTGATTCTCTACTGAATGCATATCTTTTGATCTACCATAAGTTTATCATCCATGTTCATCCACCCTATGGGTGAATGGGTGTTTATGGGAGGAACAGAAGGATGAATAAATGACACATAGAGGAGTGCGGTATAGCTGTGAATTAGAGCTTGAAGACCTGCCTTGAGTGAGTATGTGCAGTTTGGTTGTTGGACAAAGAAATAATTGGGCTTGTGTGGGGGGCAAAAATGATTGGGAGTCTATGGGAAAACAAGGGGTGAGGAAAAAAAGACTAACAGATGAGTGCAGGTCAGAACAACATTAAATTCGTGCTAGGAGGCCTGCCCTGAGATAGTGTATGCAAAATAAAGTATTTCAGATTAGCAGAAGGCCAGTAGATGGACAAACAAATTTTTACCCCATTCATTCCTATGGGAAAAATTTCGTAAACTAATGAAGATTTTATGAAAACTATACATCGGATCAAAAAGCTGTATACAAGCACACCAATCCCGCTCAGACAAAACATTCCAGAGTTGGAAAGGTGTCGATATCTAGCCTCTATTCTTCTGTTTTTTGGACCCCTTTGGTCTAAAATAAAATCCTAAAGCTCTAAGCAGCAGCAAAGCAGAACAGAAGCTGAACCAACAGAAAAAAAATAATAAGGAACTAAATGTAAAGGGTTAAAGTGGAGCTGAGAAAGGTAGAAGGGAAAGTATTTTTAATACTTAGAAACATATAAATCCTTTAAAATTGTACTTAAGTATCTACTAATTACTTACCTAATTACCTGTATAAAGTTCCTAAGTGTACAAGGTGTAACTTGAAGAGCGCCATTAGAGACCGTCTATGTTTTTAAGGTCGCTTTTGGTAGCCAAGCTATTTGCTTTCATTAGGCTGTCTGAGTGCAAATGAGACAACAACCAAACGTTGACCACAGAAGGCTCGTCCGCTCTCTGTCACTCCCGACATAATGAATTTCCATTAGAGATAATAACCTGAAATTGCACAGCTAACTGGATTAACGGCTGGAAAACTCCAGGGAGGGTTGTTATTTAAAAAATACATTATTTAGCAGCGGCGGCTTCAACTCCCTACAGCCTTTAGAGCATTTTGTACAGTGCCAAAAAAAAAAAGAACGAAGAAGCATCACGAGGTGTCAGTCTCATCACCGGGGTGTCATGTGTTCTCTTTGTATCAGTGTTTCTGGGTCATGCTAAATGGTAAGTCATGCCTCCAGCACAATGGCCCACAAAAGCAGTGTGCATTTCAAATGAGCTTCTTGT